TTAAGATGAGCTTTTAAACACTGATAACTTCATTCTCATTCTATATGATCAACACAATTCTTCCACTTCATTACTCAGTGTCTATCGTGCTCACAGATGCAGTGATCAACACAATTCTTCCACTTCAGTACTCAGTGTCTATCGTGCTCACAGATGCAGTGATCAACACAATTCTTCCACTTCAGTACTCAGTGTCTATCGTGCTCACAGATGCAGTGATCAACACAATTCTTCCACTTCAGTACTCAGTGTCTATCGTGCTCACAGATGCAGTGATCAACACAATTCTTCCACTTCAGTACTCAGTGTCTATCGTGCTCACAGATGCAGTGATCAACACAATTCTTCCACTTCAGTACTCAGTGTTTATCGTGCTCACAGATGCAGTTTTGGCCTATTAAGGTTTATTTTTTGTTGTTGTTCTTTGTTATTAAGCATAAAATTACACAAAGGGCTATTTGTGCTGTGCCCTCCACGGGTATCGAAACCCGGTTTCTAGCGATATAAGTCCAGAGACATACCGGAGTATTTTGGTAATTGTTTTAGTAAACTTGCGTCCCATGTCCTCACATCGCGAACGTTTAACAACATTGAATTTCCACACGTGTGTTTGGCCGAATTTTTTCATTCCTCTTTTTATTGCGTGAATCTGGGGATCTATTAGTTTACAATCTAACACAGTTTACCACACATATGTATATTTGTTTTTCAGCCTAGACCATTAATGTTTCTTGCTGTCTTTCTTAGCGTGCTAGGACTGTGAATTCGAGGGTTCGTGACCCTTTTCCGCAAAAACTAGTTCAGCACTTTGGGACCATGGGCGCGCTAGAAGTTTGATGGTCAAATCCCATTATTTAGTCAGACAGGAGAACCTCAATGCGCAGATAACACGTTTTTGCAACTTTGCTAATAAACTCTGAAAGAAACAAACACAGAATTCAACTAAACTCTGGCTTTCCTTAGACAGTATAACATGACGTATGCATATTTTGTTAATTTTTTAAATAGATAGCGCAGAATCTGTTAAAACCTAAACCAAAGGTATAATGTAATCCTGTTTAAATCAGTTTTACAGTATATTTGCCTTATAATATTTAATTAATGTTAATGTTTGTTACGATGCCATTTCTGTTGGAAGCTATGGACAATTACTCTGCGTTGTACCATTCGGCATTTGCTACAATGCTGATTCTTCTGTTTGTTTCACCAGAGGTTAATATGGAACATATAATCATTTTACAAGTATAGAGATATCAGTGTTAGGCCTAACCTAACTAGAAGTATTTCCGCAGAGTCCTCAACAGTGTTCTGTTTAAAAAGTAAATAAAACCAAAATTAAGGGTAACAAATATTTTTATTTCTTGCTTTTGAAGTTCATATGTCATGCTGTGTTGTAGCCTACAGAGTGCATAATTATTTTCCTCATTCATGACAGTATAAATTGCAACGTTAAGCGTCCCGTGTGTGACGTCATTTTAGTGTCTACTAACTGACTTACAGACAACACACTACTGTAAGTGGTGCAAGTGATTAAAACATGTAACCCCTCCAGACGGCCTTCTACACCCTTTCGGAGAAATTAAATAACTTAATTTTTTGCTCATTTTTACCAAACTCGCTTTAAATGTAAGACATAATTAAAAACAATTCTGTTGACTTTAAGCAGTAGAAACAATAAAAATGTTATAATTCCTCAATTTAGTATAACTTACTGTCAACCGCCAACAACAACAAGAAGAAAAAAACTGTTTACGTATTTCAGTTATAAGTTCATTAAAAAATGATGTGGCATTAATTGTTAGATTATTTGCGCATTTAAATCGATACTCCTTATTAGTATCATGTCAAGTATTTAAATAAGTCTTCGTGTTATAGTTCGAGTTTAAAGTTCTTAAAAAACACGCGATTTATACTGTTTAATCAACGAGCTGTATAATATCAACATAGCGAGCAACCTGCTTAAAAATTAAAAATAATAATTAACTCGGTAATGAGTACAGTTAATTAAATATACTGTTCTTACACTCTTTCTTATGATGATGAGAAAGTATTATTTCATTGGCCGTAAATAATAATCTCTTGCAGTTCTTACCAACGCGATTTTTTTAATCGATACTTTAGTTCTTAAACTGTATAATGCCAGACTACCAAGTTTCCACACAACAAATATTAATATACGTACATAACCATTTACCATTAAAAGCTTATTAGAGAATATATTGAACCATATTTGTGCATCATTTCAGCCATAGCTGCAATGAAAATATATTATTTTAGATATCTTGTGTCAAAACTCACTTTTAACTGAACTGCTCCTAATCAGGAAAATTAGCAAACAGATAATTAGAAATCACAGTATAACAGGAAGATTATTACTTATAATTAAGCCCCCCAGTGGCACAGCGGTATGTCTGCGGACTTACAACCCTAGAATCCGGGTTTCGATACCCGTGGTGGGCAGAGCACAGATAGTCCTTTGTGTAGCTTTGTGCTTAATTACAAATAATAAATAATAATAAACTTATAATTAAGACTAATTATACTTTCTATTGAATATTTTAATTAAGTATTCTGCTAGAAGCTATTACATGATTGATTCAAACAAACTGAAAGATGTAAATGATGAGGTGAAACCAGACGTTCGACAGTTTTTATATTACATCAAACACGAAGTTCAAATATATACACACATTACAAAGAAAAATTAGAATAACTGATCTAAACTTGGAAGTGAACTATAAGATCAAACTCAATTTGAGTATTTAACTTAGGAAAGCAGACTTGGGAACACAGATATTGGCCAAATGGATAACAGAAAGAACTCGACCCAAAACGACGTGAGATCGAGTAAAGGACAAGAACTCCTAAAGCAAAACATAGATCAACCAGCAAAGCCTAAGCTGCTTAGGACACACAACACTTACAATATTTTCCATACCCCTGTCACAGCTGTACAAGGGACAATATGAAAGGAGTGAATATCGCCTTTCACAAATGAGCCAGCTGGTGTTTCGGATAACGCCAGATTGATACCACCATAAAATGTACAGTTCTAGTACAGCTTTTCTCATTTTTATGAAGTATTTCCTGGTTCCCATACTACAAAGAGGAAGTGAAAAATAAAACCTGAATGGGCATATCGAGTTCAAGAGGGTGGAGTTGTGACAGAAAATCACCACATAATGACTAGGTTGAACATCTCTATACCAAAGGTTTATTCCTTATCGTCAGTTATAACTCTTAACTAAAAACGTCACTCCCACACACGCACACACATATACTTCTAATTTCGCAATTAGATTTATAATGTTTAACATCATATTGCACATTAAAAATTTATATCAGGTTGTAAAGGCTTTTTTTTTATTTCAACATGCTAGTTTATGTGAGAAAGGTCAATTAATTTTTTAAAATTAAAGCGGATTTTTGTAAAATGAATGAACAACGTATGGTTCATGCTATAACACGAATTTGATTTTCAGTGTTACCTAAGAATTAAGCTAGTCACCCAAGTAAATCCCTAAAACAAGGATTTATCACCGCTATTATATATTGTGTTATAATAAGTTTAATGTTAAAAGGTATTTAAAATATAGAATTTGTCATATTATATTGATACCTGGGGATTTTACACCTAAGTAGCAGCTATAGGTGTTAAAACATAATGAACAGAGTAAAATAAAAATCAATGCAATTTAATGAGCTCGCGACTGGGATCTATTCTTGGTTAGTATCCTCTAGTTTCAATGGAAGTTTGAAATCTTTTATTTGTTTTGTTCCCTTAGTTTCAATGGGAGTTTGAAAATATTTTATCTATTTTGTTCTCTTAGTTTCAATGGGAGTTTGAAAATTTTTATTTATTTTTCCCCTTAGTTTCAATGGGACTTTGAAAATTTGTATCTATTTTGTTCCCTTAGTTTCAATGGGAATTTGAAAATTTGTATCTATTTTGTTCCCTTAGTTTCAATGGGAGTTTGAAAATTTTTATTTATTTTGTTCCCTTAGTTTCAATGGGAGTTTGAAATGTTTTATCTATTTTGTTCCCTTAGTTTCAATGGGAGTTTGAAATGTTTTATCTATTTTGTTCCCTTAGTTTCAATGGGAATTTGAAAATTTGTATCTATTTTGTTCCCTTAGTTTCAATGGGAGTTTGAAAAGTTTTATCTATTTTGTTCCCTTAGTTCAGCCCCCCAGTGGCACAGCAGCATGTCTGCGGACTTATAACGCTAGAAACCAGGTTTCGGTACACGTGGTGGGCAGAGCACAGATAGCTCATTGTGTAGCTTTGTACTTAATTATAAACAAACAAGCCCTTAGTTTCAATGGGAGTTTGAAAACTTATCTGTTTTGTTCCCTGTATCGTTCGACCAGTAGCTGTTACTTTCTTACTGCATTTGATACGTGATTTTAAGTTATAACGTTCAAGTTAAACTTATGATTGCTTGTTTGTTTTAGCGCGGAGCTACACATTGTGCTATTTCTGCTCTGTCCAGAGCAGGGAATCGAATCCCGGATCTTAGCACTGTGAGTCCGCAGTGTAACACTGACCCACCGGAGGAAGCAAGTTGAACAAAAATTAATGCGTTTACGAGATATCCACGATACAATGCTATCGCCTCAGCAGTGTTTGTTTAATTTAGAACAAAGCCGCATTCAGCTATCTTCTGTGTCTATCGCGCTAAATCGAACCCTGGATTTTTGCACTATAAGTCTGTAACCTTACCCCTGTCCCATCGGGTGACCCTCATCAGTGAGTAATTGTTATATTATAGTAACTACAAGTATTTCTGACTTTAAGTTAATAATAAATACGAATTTCAACGATGAAGAAAAATTACAGTAATCTCACATTACAAGTAATTTCGGTTTTTCACAAACAATTTTATTACATTAGTTAATTTTTCTGTAAATTAAAAAATACCTTATTTCTGCTGGGAGACGTTTAACTAATTTTGCGACTGAATGATGTAATGTATTTTTTACTCCTTCTCTTGTGCTAGATAGCGCAACAGATTACACCCTCAGAAATCATGGCGTCTTTACTGGGTGCAGTATGCCATGATTTGGACCACCCTGGTGTCAATCAGCCGTTTCTGATCGCAACGTCTAACCACTTGGCTGCTTTGTATAAGGTAAGTCTTCATCGTTTCAGTCAAATGATTATAAAAGTCTATAGGGAGAGAACACGTAAGCGAGAATGAATAATATTTCTTTGTTTTTGTAAACGTGTTTTTTGTTTGTTTATTTTTTTCATTTCGTCTTATATTTTAAATCATCATACAGCTGTTTGTTGTAAGTCGATAAACCTAAACGGTGCTGATCATTTACATGAAGTGGCGCCGCTGCTGTTTGTATAAAAAGAAATGTGAACTTATGATAAAAAAACATTAACTGAATTTTACTCTACAGGAAATACGAAACTGTGACGTATGTGCAGTGACTTTTTTAAGGACATAATGTACTATTTAGTAATATCATCATTAAATACAAGTAAATTACATTAACAGTGTCTAATGGCTTTTAAAATCAGAAAATAATTTCTGGTAACCCGTTTTATAAATCAATACACGAAGAATATGAATCAATATTATGTATATGATGTTGACATATTTATATTATTTTATTACAAAAATTAGGTTCTTTACCAATCCTTGGTTCCATTCACCGAAATATGTGTCATAATTAATGAAATCAGGTCAAAACTATATTTATGCATTATTTATTAGTCAATATTTGGATATAAACACAAATATTTTATTCACGGGTTCTATTTAGTCAACAAACTGCTGAGTCTGGTTTGTTTCCTGCGCCACCATGAGCTCTTAACCTCCTTCTTTGTAAGGTTTGCACTTGTTGAAGTTTTTGTAATAATTTTGGCTAAAATTTCCATTTTGAGCCATAAATCAGTGTATATTAACTTAATTGGTGCGTAATAAATAGCTTAATACGTAACATAAATAATAACCTGAACAATGTGAGCGTCGTTTCCCTTAGGGCCGGGCGAGGTTAATGTGGCATGCAAGATCTGAATCCTATAATTTATGGTTTACATTTCCTTGCCGCAAAATCGCGCTCCGCACCTTGGAAACGTGAGTGTGTTATAAGAGAAACGGTCAAGTCCCACTATTCCGTTAAATAAGTGTTTCTTAAGAGCTGATGTGAGTACTGTTGACTAATTGCCTTCCCTCTAGTCTATCGGTTCAAAATATGGATGAGCAGCCCAGCTGTAGCTTTTCGAAAAAATCGGAAACAAATAAACACTTTTTGCTCTTTCTCTCTAGCATCTCTGTTTCTTAATCCGCCATGTTTTTAATATTCAAGTTAAATACTTTGCTTATAACAAATTTGAAGACCTAATCTCACTTTATATGAAAGATTTGCATATTTATTATACATTAGTGTATCGCTATAGAGGCATGGTATGGCTTGATGGTTAGGGCATTCACTCGTGGAATTGAAACCTGTCGCCGAACATCCTTGTCCTTCCAGCCGTTGGGGCGCTATAATGTTACGGTCAATCCCACTATTCGTTGGTAAAGATTATCCCAAGAGTTGGCAGAGGGTGGTGTTATCTAGCTGCCTTCCTTAAACTCTATCATTACAAAATTAAGGACGGCTAGCACAAATCACCTTTGAATAGATTTGTGCACAAATTAAACAAGCAGTCGCAATAGATGTGAACAGTGTCTTCATGTTTGATAACAGCAAGTGTGTAAGTATTTCACAAAGCAATGTCGACACAAGTAGACTTTTGAGTTTATGTAATTTCAAACTGTTTATTAAAATATTGAATTTATAAATATGTTAGTAATTTTGGGAGATGTATAAGTAATTTTTTTATTAAATAATGTATTGGATTTGGCGCATTTTCGCGTTATCTCTTGCTAGATAGCACAGTTAGTAACGTGCATGCGGAAAACATGGCTTCTTTACTGGGACATCATGATTTTTAAAAGTATACAAATAAGACGATCTAATGGACCGACCACCTATGATCAAACACGAAGTATTGTTAAATATCTATACACGTAAAGAATAGAAAGCGTATTATGTAAAATGTAGTCCAAATATTTTTGTTTTTAAATTTCAACCATCTGTTAAAACAGTAGACTGTGACAAAGCACAAAGGTTACTGTTTTTTTATCCGATAATATAAAGTAAATACAAAAATGCTTATTTTCATCCTGATTCCATTACATATACATCAAGCAGATAATAAAATAAAAATGTATGCTTGAAATGTTCTGATTTCCTTCATATTTCATATAAAATAAAATTTCTTTATGTAATTTTTGATATTATTAAGACTAATTCTTCCTTCAATTAGAATTTCTCAGTGTTGGAGAATCATCACTGGAGATCAGCTGTTTCCTGTCTGAGGGAATCAGAGTTACTGGATCATCTTTCGGAAACTCGGTAAGTTATACAACGCTAGAAACCGGGTTGTGTAGCTTTGTGCTTAATTATAAACAAACATACAAACAAAATCAGTAAGTTAAATTATCTTGCTTACAAGAGTTGGAAAATAACATGTTATGATAAGATAAAATATCCAGGTTTATTGTATGTTAGATATACACGTGTTTCAATTTAAGTTTGATGTGAGTGTTAAAATTAGTTATTTTTAGAAGCGATAACTTAACGCAAGTCTGCTTATTGTATACGAATCATATGCTGTGTAGTTCAAATTTTGTGAATTGGTACTTGTTGTATTATTGCGTCATGTTACTAAAACCTTCTAAGTTTTTCTTGCTGTTTTGATTCAGTATTAACGCATCATAATATCTCGTAGTGTGTAGAGCGTTCTAGACCTCGGTGAGGCTTTAAACACACGTACAAAATATAGTTCAAATTAGTTATAAAGCTAGTTAGATAGCTAGAACTAGACTGCATGATTGTGAGTTTAACCATAAAGAGCGTATAGTGGCGATTTTTAAAGTGAAATTATCGCAGATTGTATTGTAATAACAGAGTAGAGAAGAATAATTTGTCTTGTTAAATAGAGTTCTAAAGTAATTGAATTAAACTGTGTGGACTTTGACCAAACGAGACAATTATTTAAAGCTCTGGATACAACTGTGATAACCAACAGTGTGGCATAATTGAAATTATCACAGACTGTTTTGTAATAACAGAGCAGGGAGAGTAATTCATCTTGTCAAATTGTGTTTTAGAGTAACTGAACTATCATGTGTGGACTTTGACGAAAAAGAGACAATTAATTATAGCACTGGGTACAACTGTGATAACAAACAGAGTAAGTAACAGTTGTATATACGTTTGACTTGTTTTAATATAATATTTAAAATAAGTGGACTGTGTGCTGTTTGTTTATTGTTAAAATTTATCGCCAACAAATCACAGACACCTACTGTAAAGAATCCGGTCCATACATAAACATAAAAACCTGACATTTTAAAAATCAGTCTTTTTTTTTAAAGATGTGTTAAACAAGTAAATAAACAATAAGATAACGCCAACGAAGCTAAAGAAAACAGCTTGATTTATGTTACGTACGAGCTTCAGTTCAGTCCCGACCAGTGAGACGTATAACTGGGCCAAATATACAATAAAACTAAAGTTAGATTAACAGGCAGCATTAGCTTTGGGTGGCAATGACATTTCAGAGAGCCCGAACCCCCCCATCCCCACCACCACCATTAGCACTGGCTCTGCTTCAGTTTGAAGTTGATGAAACAACCTGACGTTTTGTAGAAGAACCAAAATGTAAAACCACTATTGTGTTACTAATTTGAAATATATAAAAATAGAGAATAAGTAGAACTAGATATGATAGTCAAGGGAAACTAAAGTAAATAACTTAAAATAATATAATGAAACTACTAGGAACCTCGGTAATCTACGGTGATGACAAACTGTACAATAAGGGGAAAAAACACTACTAGAATTGATGTAGCCCCCCACCCCTAATAATTAAGGCATCACAAATTACATAAATTATTTTAAAAATTGTTCCATACCTTTGAAAGTTGAAAGAAGGTATCATCGAGATGAAATAGGGGTAAGGTTATCACACGTGCTAGCTTTGATTCTCCGTACCGTAAATAAACTAATAACAGCGTACACAGCTGTGTGCATAGCAGTCGGCATTCGCGCAAGTGCATTAGTAAGCCCTTGCAGTCAAGTTAGTCAAACCCAAACAAAGGAAACAACAGATTCAACCAACCTATGACTGATTACATCACAGATTATAATAGTCTCACGCAGTAGAGCATAAAATATTGAAGAAATAAAATATGAAACTAGTTAAATGTTTATATCATCACAGGGAAAGAAGAAAACTATTAGTTTATGCTTTCTTGTCAAGAAATAATGCAAAACGATCCGAAAGTAAAATAAAACGAATAGCCTCATGTGACATCAGTCATCATAAAATACAGTGTAAATAAACCACTTTAGTGCATATAATTTTGAATTCCAACTACTAAACGTGCATATTCACGCCATTCAATGTATGTATAGAAAATATAAGGGCAATATCGTCAGAATTGATAAAGTACAGCTTCTTGAGGCTGTCTTGAGAAAATATTGGAAGGTTGAGTGGTGTGACATAACAGAAGAAGAAGAACAAAAACAGTGTAATAAATTATACTATTGTATAGTAACAATTTTAAAACAAATTAAATAAAATGATATCTTTATTGATACTTGAATCTCGAAGCTTCGCTAAATTAGAAAAGGCTGCTATTTTCTTTATCACTGGTTGTGTTTATTTGTGTGTTTGTGAATTGATGTAAATCATTGGGGAAGGGATAGGCCCTGTGGTACAGCTCTGGATGTCGGAGCTGGCGAGCCAGGTTCGAATTCATGCGATACCACGAATTTTAAGCCATGAGTGTGTTCCAATAGTGACAGTCAATCCCTTAGCATGGATATCGACCGGTAAGTTGCTGCTGACTGACTAGCTTTCCTTAAATACAAATACAAAAAAAATACCTTTTGAAGTGAAACCAAGACCTCCTATCAAGTATTTTATTTACGTTCTATTCTACTGCAACACTGTTAACATGATCACAAGTAATTTCTCGTACGAAGATTATATAGAATGTTACTTTGGGGGCTTCAAGTATACAAGCACTCTCTAATTTCTTCATACTTTATAAAAACTGATTTCTCTTTACGAAACACAACTCATATTGCATGATATTTTCAGAATCAGGAAAAAAAACTGAGAATGTGATATAAACCATATGTTTCCAATTCGAACAGCCGCTTTTAAACAACAAGCTATCGTTGAGCGTATATTACAAACACAAAATTTAATAATTAACATGGTAATAAATGATTCAAAAATGGTTTAAGATTTCCTCGAATGTATAAAAAAAAGAAGTTCGTTACATCACCTCGTCAGCAATGACAAATACGTTATATTGCGTCAAGGTGTGCGCTTGGGGAGTATGGGGGCATGTTTCTCCTTAAAAAACAAGAACATTTCTTTACACACAAAATGTCGACATAATTCTATTCCAAGAAACAATAATGAAAATACCACATTGCAAGTTATTTATTCAACTTAGTTTTATATAAATGAAACAAGCAATTTTTTTCAGTTCTTGGTTCTTTATCACCATCAATATTATCATGGTACCTCATGTCATAGGCCCGGCATGGCCAGGTGGTTAGGGCACTCGACTCGCAATCTGAGGGTCGCGGGTTCGAATCCCCGTCACACCAAACATG